CGACCTATGTACACCCCTACTTCTAAGTCATCAAGAATCGTGGTTGAGTTCAAAGGTTAGTTTTTTCTTGATTTTATTTTGTTAGCTTTTCGAAGAAAGGAGCAATTTAGCTTTTGATAATGGAGGTTTTTTTTTTCCAAACATGAAGAACAATAATAAAGAAGAAGAAAATTTAGTTAATATTTATTTTTCCAAGTTTATTTTAACACATGACCAATTTTTATTGGTCAGTGTTGTCTAAAAGCTGCACCCACGCGCCTAACATAGGTGAAATCACGGACTCAGCCACGTAGGCCGAAAAGTGCTAAATAATTAACTAAAAAATAAGTTCGGGGGGGTAATAGGACCTTAGTAAAGGTTAGGTGTGTCTCAGGGATTTTGGGCATAGGCTGGGGGGGTACTTATGCATTTTCCCAAGAAAAAAAGAGCACAAGAATTTGAAAAAAAAAACTCGATGGAGCAGGGTAAAAAGTAAGAAGAACCTAAACGCGGCATAACAAGACAAGTTAAATTTAGCGAGTTAAGATTAATATTTTTCTTTCCCATCTCATGTATTTATTACTTTATACTTCGAACCCCCTTAGCGAACATCCTGGCTCCGCCACTGATTGTAACCCACGGGTTCACATGAACCAATAGCTTTTGCCTAGAGACTTTAATTTGTATTATTAATATCTAGAGATACCTTGATTATGAACCTGGTTGTTATTGGTTATTAACCTGAGGTCTTTAGAGGTATCTATACATTTCAAACTATCTTCTAGTCGTACTGTTTCTTTGTCTATCATTAGATACAAGTTTTCACCTATTTTTTTATATCGTCTTCCTAAGTTGGAAAATATTATTTTTATTTTTAATCCATCTTGATTTTCATAAGTTTTTTCATCTATAGCAAATTCTTCTTTATTCATAATAGATTATGCTTTAGTTTATACTCTATCTGCTGTACTTGTAGTTGTAATTTAAATATTATTTTTCTTTGGCTTAATATTGATTTTTGACATACTCCTGCATATATGTTAGAATTAAGTCTTTCTTGTCTATGTTTTAGTTCATTACGTTTTTCTATAACTGTTCTTATTAATTCATACTTATGTTGTTCTTTTTTACTATTCATAGCTCTGATACCAATTTTGTGTGTGTGGGGAGGGGGGGTGCATTTTATATTTTTATGAATTAATTTTGTCATAGTATATTTTTTCTAAGGGGATTAACCTTATAATTTCTTTTATGTTTTCTAGTATATATTCTATATACTGTATGTCATGAGTTTGTTGAAACATTTCTATATTTTCTTTTATCAGGTTTCCTAATAAGGTGATATCTATTATAGTTCTTTGCCAATACTGAAGGTATTCTTGATTTATCATTAGTCTGAGTATTGTATTTCTATATCGCTTAGATTATATTCTTCTATTTCATCTATTTCATGCCATATTTGGTTCATTATTTCTTCTTCTTTGAAATCAAATATCTTTTCCCATATTATTCTTCTTAGCTCGATAATCTTTATATCCTTAAGTATATACAAAATTAGTGTCTTATATGTTAATATCATTTCATCATGTAAGTAAGTAGACATATCAATGTTTTATCAATAATTCCCTTATATCATGGCTTAATGAATATTATTCATATTAGATTACTATAAACTAGATTATTTTCAACCATGTTTTCCTGTCACTATTAACATGGTACTTTCAAAGGTACTTTCTTCCTAACAACGCCTCGACTTTGTTTACTACCCTCACGACTTCCTTTGCCTATGGTTTCAACTTTAGGATGGCATAGTCTGGAAGATTTTCCTTTTTTCCTCATGTTAACAAACTAGAAAACATGCTGCAAATAATTCTAGTATATAACAACTCATATAAACTTATTCAATCATGTCATGATATTTAGGAATTAACAGATTTAGCTATGCATAATCATAAATGGATGTACCTGTACAATATCTGGAGTATTTTGATCCATAGCTTAGCTTAGAAACTTGAATTTTTATTGATTATTTTTGTTTACAAAGAGGCTTGCTTTCCGTCGAGAAAGTCTTGCCTTAGATTGCCTTCTGGCTCTTCTATTTATACAAGTAGTGAAGCTTACTTTTCATCTCTAATTACTGTAGTTACTTTACATCTGTCTAATTACTATTTACTTTTCTATATACACGTTACCTACTACTACCACTTTACATAAAGCTTCTCCACTTACTTTGCTTTTATAATAGGACGATAAACTTTACTTTTCTTTTTATCTTCTTGTCAATCTTGTCTTCAATCCTGTCGGCTCTTTACTCTAGTTGGACAGCTGGAATTACA